CACAATAATATCAGAATTAAATTGAATTAAAAATGCATTTATAATACAGACTCGGATGTGAGGACACAACTGTACCCTTCAGTAAAGCCGACCCATTGAACAGCGCCTCCAAAAGTATCTTCGTATCCGAGGCCCACATCTGTGAGGCATACGAGCGCTACTTAGTTATGGACCGATACTATGCCCAACGCATCGGACATAAAGCTGTCATAAATACTCCCATTTTTAAAGACACCAAAACTCCGGACCCTTTCGTCGAGATATTCAACGACACGGAGTCTAATAGAGCGGCAAAAGTGGATCACATATATATGAACGAGACATTGTTTGGTGCGGCGGCCAGTTGTCTACAGGTATGCTTATGACTGCAACATAGAAAAAATTATTGTAAAAATGATTGAAACTTAATTATGAAAATATACTTTACTTTAGGTAACAATGCAGGCGACAGACGTGTCCGAAGCGTTCACACTATACGACCAGTTGACTCCATTAACGCCCATAATGTTGGCTTTGGGCGCCGCGACCCCTATTTTTAGGGGCTATTTGACGGATAATGACTGCAGACTTGGCGTCCAATTGGAGTCCAACGACGACCGGACGGCTGAAGAGAGGGGAGAGAAGCCATTGAAACACAACGCATACCGTATTCCCAAATCCAGGGTTTCGCCGATCAATACGTATTTGTGTGAATCAAACGCCGCATACAATGACAGTCCGATTGTCTATAATAAGGAGTATTACAATGAGATGATCAGCGCTGGCGTCCCCTCACCGCTGGCCCAACACATCGCTTACCTCTTTATTCGTGATCCGGTTGTTATATCACGTGATAAATTGAATCAAGACTTGGAGACAGAATCGGAACACTTTGAAGGCATTCAGTCGACTAATTGGCAGACAATGAGGTTTAAACCGCCGCCTCTTAACCAACAGTCCATCGGTTGGAGAGTAGAGTTCCGTCCGATGGAGATCCAGATGACTGACACACAAAACTCCGCCTTTTCTGTGTTCGTTATATTGTTGTCCAGAATTGTATTGAAATATAAACTCAATTTCATTATTCCTATGACTAAAGTAAGATTGAAATAAATATATTATTTATATATTAATATTTATAAACTATCAACAGATACACCAAAACATAACAACAGCCCTTAAGAGGGATGCCATTAATAGATGCAAATTCTGGTTCAGAAAAGACATCTTCACTCAAAATACACCACAAATTCATTGTTTCAAAGAAAATAGAAACAGATATGAGAGCGAAGACGAGTCATATATAGAGATGTCTATCAATGAGATAATGAATGGTTACGGAAATGAATTCCCGGGTTTAATACCACTCATCAGGGAATACGTCAATAGTATATCACTTGACGTTCAGACCTATAATAAAGTTCAACAATATATTCAATTGATTGCCGACAGAGCGTCGGCTAAAGTCAAGACAACCGCCCAATGGATCAGAGATTTTGTGCGAAAACATGCGGACTATAAATACGATTCTGTGGTCAACGAGAAAATTACTTACGATTTGTTAAATACGTTAAATCGTATTCAAAATGAAGGCCTGAATGTTAATAAATTAATCGGCAATTATTAAATGTTTTAATAATTTTATTATTTAATGATTATTTTATTTTAAAATACGAGTTCAAAACTCGCGGTTTTATTTTGATCAGCCTATCGTTGCTCACAAACTATTCACAAACTCTGTTACCAATCCCTCTCCCATTCGTTTTGTCCCCCTCTATAGTTTTGACTATTGTTTTCCCTCACAGTCCCTCCTATTATATGTAACGCTGTTTTCAAATGGCATTTACCCTATTATTAAATGTAAAAAGAGATATTCAAAAAATATTGATACAGTATGTTGATAAACTATATAAACTAATGTTAATTTATAAAGTTATGGTTTGTTACAAATACTACTGCAAATAGTTTGTTGTAAACTCTATTTGCAAACATACAATTTGCATTAAATACAAACTAATATTAAAATCATAAATTCAATTTTACAAATTATACTTAATAAACTTTTTAAAGCTGAACTTGCCAGATTTTGAGTACAATTTGTATAGATGATACTGTATTACAAAATTCTTGCAGTAATAATCTAAGGACACTTTGAGTGCTATTTTCTGTGTATTATACAAATAGATTACAAAATATCTAAAATAATCAAATTTGTGTAAATAATAAAAGTTACCAAACCAATATAAACTCCAAACTTTTAATGTGTATAAACTAATTATATAAAAAGTTAATTATATTTTAAAATTTATAAATGTGAAACGTTTACCTCCCACGTCTTGTTAGTGTATAATATATAGAGATAGGACTTGATGAGTCATTTAATATTCAGACTCATAAAAGTAGTAAATCAGTCAAAGGGTAACAAAAAATCCTCTATTCAATTAATGTTTCACATTTATAAAATAGTTGCGATAATCATTATTATATTTTTAAAAATTGCATATTACAGACAAAACTGCACTAAAGTTGTACTAAAGTCCTATCCATAATAATATATTATATTATAAAAAAATACTTTACATTGAAATACACTAACTTAAATGTTTCAACATTATTATATCTAAAAGTTTTGATAATACTATACATATAAAATTAAAATTAATTACCTACCACTTCTAACTTTAATAATAAACCATGTCTATTTAACAATTAGTATACTATTTATATAATTATGTCAATAATTACCATGCTATTGCTTAATATTTAAATAATTAATGTCATAATATTGATTGACATTAAGAAACCGCATGTGACTGACAAATGTACTTAATTATTGCAATAATTTTTAATCATAATAACTTTATTATTTCCCCATTACTTCAGTAATAGTCTCTATCATATCATTTCTAACTATAAATAGAAGATAAAAATTAATTAATTTTCAATTAAATACTTGCTTCACGTCTTGATTAAAGGATTATAAATTTAAAACAATTTAATAAAACTTTATAATATTGTGACAAAAAACATACAATGGGTTTGCTATCAATTGGACATCCATTGACTCCCAGGGAGAACAGGAAACACGCGCCACACGTGCGGAGACACGGAATCAAACAATTCATTAATATCTATAACCAAAACAAAGACCGAATCGACCGGTGCTTCAAATGGGGCGATGAGATCGAGTACGTGATCGTCCGCTTCGATCACAACAACCAAAAAGTTAGACTCAGTTTACGTTCAAAACAAATACTCGATGTTATGTATGAGAGAGAAGAGAGGGAGGGAGCGAACCGGCGGGTGCTGTGGAGACCAGAGTACGGCGAGTTCCAGATCGAGGCCACACCCGGACAGCCGTACGGACACCAAAACGAGTTATGCGACGACAATATTTGGCACAATCTGTTCAATACGGTTGAGGAGAATATGAAGAGCCGGCGCCGGGAGATCCGAGAGCTGCTCGATCACGATGAAGCTATCATATGCATCACAAACTTTCCTAGGTAAACTCCTATTAAAGCATCAAGACTACTCAAATTAACACTTTTAATTATCTACAGATTAGGCAACGAAGACATAAGTGTCCCCTATTGTAGAGCTGATCCGGCGAACAGCACAACAGGCAGTATCTTTGCTTCGGATGAGTTGACGAGCGTTTTTCATCCGCGGTATTTGAGGACCAGTTATAATGTGGTCCAACGCAGGGGTCGAAAGGTGGCCATCAATGTTCCCATTTTCAAAGACACCAAAACTCCGGACCCTTTCGTCGAGATATTCAACGACAAGGAGTCTAAGAGAGCGGCAAAAGTGGATCACATTTACTTAGACTCCGGTGTGTTTGGGATGGGATGCTGTTGTCTACAGGTTTACGGATATTCATCGATATTAATAAAACATTTAAATTAATGCCATATTTTAATGGCCGGACTTATAGGTCACACTTCAGGCCACAAACATAGACGAGGCGATGGTTTTGAACGACCAAATGGCACAATTGACGCCCATTATGATGGCTTTGAGCGCCGGCGGACCCATCTATAGGGGCTTTCTATCGGATAGAGACTGTCGATGGGATGTCATATCAAACGGTGTCGACGACCGGACGCGAGAAGAGTTGGGAGAGAAACCGCTGAAGAATGAAAAGTTTAGGATTCATAAATCACGTTACGCTCCCATTAATACATATTTATGTGAATGTAATGCTAAATATAATGACAACCCTATTGTGTATAACACGGAGTTTTACAACGAGATGATCAGTGCCGGAGTGACACCATCTCTGGCCCAACACATGGCATATGTGTTCATAAGAGACCCGACGATCACATATCGCGAGAAATTGGATCAAAACGATAGCACAGAAACGGATCACTTCGAGAATATTCAGTCAACTAATTGGCAGACAATGAGGTTTAAACCGCCGCCTCTTAACCAACAGTCCATCGGTTGGAGAGTAGAGTTCCGTCCGATGGAGATCCAGATGACTGACTTCGAAAACGCCGCCTTTTCTGTGTTCACTATACTATTGTCCAGAATTATACTTCAATACAATCTTAATCTCGTTATTCCCGTCTCTAAAGTCAGTCATCATATAAATTAATTTAAAAATAATTATAATTTGAAGTTAACTAATTTTTATCGATGAAAAGGTGGACCAAAACATGTCAACCGCTCAGAAGAGAGATGCCGTCAATAGATGTAAATTCTGGTTCAGAAAAGACATCTTCTCATCAAATATAGCACAAGAAGTGAATAACAATACAAACGGTTTTAATGGTAATCACGAGACGGAAGATAATGACGAGGAATCGTATATAGAGATGACTATCAATGAGATAATGAATGGTTACGGAAATGAATTCCCGGGTTTAATACCACTAATCAGGGAATATGTTGGCAACATATCACTTGACGCTCAGACCTATTGTAAAGTCCAACAGTATATCCAATTGATTGCTGACAAAGCGTCGGCAAAACTTAAGACAACCAAAATTAAATTAATTTTTATATTGCATTATATATAATATATTAAATAGGATTGGATGTGAAAGATATGGGTGATGCTTAATAAGAACACAATTATTATTATAACTGTTTAAATGTTTTATTTATTACGATTGCATTACAAAAGTGTTTATTGGTACAAGTACAGTAGTAAACTACATGTAGTTAAGCATTTTTTTTATAATTATCAATTAATTACAAATTGTTAGTCGTTATATGTATCGGCCTGATCTCCAGTTCTCATTTGTTTCAGCTCCGCGAGCGTTGGCTTATAATATTCCGGCTTATTCCATGCGGGATCGGCACTGGCTTCGGCCTCCGGTTCTGGCATTGGGTTGGCGTTAGGCTCCGGTTCAGCTGAAGTGTTGATAATATTAATAAATTATTAAATGAGTTCATATAAAGTAATTGTATTAAATATAATACATACGCATTGGATCGGCCGAAACCATATAATTGCTGATGGTAAATAGGGCCACGATTACCAGGATCGTTGTACGCATTTTAGTGATTGTTAACCTTATGCTTTACAGTTTATAACTGCAATGTTTTATTGTAGCGGTTCTTATATACCCAAATTATTGCAACATCAAGTCCAGATGGTTTAGGTTGGGACCAACCCATTTAGAATGTACATGTCAAATTTAATTAACATTATAGATGATTGTGTAATTGTCTATAGTATAGACTCTATACTCTTCAGTATATGAAATGTACAGTATATAATAATATGACACCATTGGAGAAAATATACCCCTGTTATGTGCGTTCGTGTGATTTCATAAGAGAATATTTGTAAATTATTATACAATAACTTAATTATTATTTTTGTAATACATAAAGTTAATTAAAACAAAATATTTATTTATTTAATTTACTTAAAACAACAGTTTTATCAATTAAAACAAAAAGTTTTGAAACAAAAATAAAAGTTTAATCAATTAAAACTTCATAATTCGGAATACCTCTGTTCGGGTTTTGATGGTTTTATAGTGTGGTGTCTTTGGGAATGAATCGGGTCTTTGAAAATAGTTCGGGTTATAGAGGATTCAGAGTTACAAAGGGTTCGAGATATTGAGAATTAAATTAATTAGAAGATTATAATTAATAAATATAATTATTGTCATTTTAATAAGACTAAATGCATTTTGTAGTCATCAATTCCTATAAATTAATGTGATCTTTATTATACAGTTGTGCAACTTATTACATACCCGTTCAATAAAATCCGATCGGGCGGTTTCTTTAATTACTCCCAAACGAAATGAGCTAGACCAAATCTGTAAACTGTAAAATGATGGTCCACATATCTAGTTTTTTGTGACAAAAAATTTTTGAAATCACGTGATCAGAACATAAAAATTTTTGGGTCATTTCGAAATGGCATGGTTTTAGCCCAGTTGAAAGGGGGGTCGGAGGGGGGCGGGTATGCTATCTTTTAGAGGACATGTCAAAGTATACGATAGCAAAGTTTCATAAACATCGAATAAATAGTCTTTCTTAACGAACAATATATTTAAGAAATTTGACACAATATTTGGACAAAAATAGCCCAATTTTGACCTTTTTATACTATATTTTGGTAGTTATAAAAATACAACTTTTGAACAACTTTTTCCCATAGACATAATGTTAATGAAATCAACAATTTCTCGTAGATGGCTGAACTAATCTTAATCAAATTTTGCTATCATATACTTTGACATGTCCTCTACCAGATAGGATGCCCGCCCCCTCCGACCCCCCTTTCAACTGGGCTAAAACCATGCCATTTCAAAATGACCCAAAAATTTTTATGTTTTGATCACGTGATTTTAATAAATTTTTGTCACAAAAAACTAGATATGTGGACCATGATTTTCCAGTTTACAGATTTGGTCTAGCTCGTTTCGTTTGGGAGTAATTAAAGAAACCGCCCGATCGGATTTTATTGAACGGGTAGATAATATAATTTACTGCTACTATATTTAAGCATCAAACAGATTGTCCAAATTACACAACATTAATATAATACTAATATTAATTACTAATTTTTAATTTAAAGTAAAAATTATATTTGATTTTTAATAAATATTCGGAATATTACAACATTGGTATTGAAATTTAAAACTAAATTATTGATATAATAGCCAATTAATTTCAAGCATCCCGTATTTCGACATACATAGCACCACATTAAAAAAAACCTGCGATGGATATAACAGTATTAGTTGTAAAAAATACTGTAATGTTGTAATTTATTACATAAACTATTTAATTGAATTGAATTTACTCATATTTAGTCACGTAATGCATTCAACATAAGTTGATTTCCGATACAGACGTGTTTTAAATGCCAAAAAAGGCCAAATGTGATTATATAGAATGCAACCACTCATATATAGTGTTATAGTAATGTAAAGGAAGGGGTGAATAAGATGAGTATGCATTCAATTCAAGGGCACTATATTTAGTCAATCTTTATAACGTTTATAATGATTGGCTCAAAACATTTTTTATGGGAAAAACGTATTTGTTAGCTTTGCTGAACTAGTATCACATGCTATGTAATAAACTGATAAAGGAGGATGCCCATTTTGGGGATAGCGTGCAACCGGGAATTATTGTTATAAAATAAAATTACTTTCTCTAAGGAATCGAGTGATATACTACATATGGTCAAGTGACCTCTGGTTTGATAACAGTGACCACTTTTATCAGGAAAAATTCGAAAGTCAAATCTTTTCTTCTATGAATAAGTATATCATATTATATATCAATGGAAAGGTATGAGGGAGAGAAGTAATGTCCTAAAAGAATTTTTAAATTCTGACGTCAGTGACCAAAGTTACAGCAAGTATAAGAAGTTTACTTACAATTATACGCGTTATTTTTGGCGTATAACATTTCTATTGTAGTCCATTTACATGAATTATAATTATAATTACAATGATCATGATTTTTACAAATTGAAAAAATTTTAAAATTTTTTATTTGCAATTTTGGGCCATTTAAGTATTAGCACTGAACAAATCCCTTTATTTCGCATTTTAATGTAAATAGCTCTCAAAATGTCTTTAATTTTACCAATTCTTAGATATTTACGGAACCGATCGTTAAGAAAAAATTATATATTTGTTGTAAAACAATGGGTGTGTTTGCCGTCGGAGAGAAACTCAGTTTCCAGGAAAGTCAGAAACACGCGGAACACATCCGAAGGCAAGGAATCAAACAATTTATTAATATCTATAACCGAAACAAAGACCGAATCGACCGGTGCTTCAAATGGGGCGATGAGATCGAGTACGTGATCGTCCGCTTTGATCACAACAACCAAAAAGTTAGACTCAGTTTACGTTCAAAACAAATACTCGATGTAATGGATGTGAGGGAAGAGAAAGAGGGGGCGAACCGTCGGGTGCTGTGGAGACCAGAGTACGGCTCGTTTCAGATCGAGGCCACACCCGGACAGCCGTACGGCTATAATAACGAACTGAATGGCGAAAACTCAATGAATAATGTGTTTAATAACGTGGAGAACAATATGAGAGAACGACGACTCGATATCAAGGCCTTACTCCATGAAGACGAGGCACTTCTATGTCTTACAAACCATCCGAGGTATAAATAAAAACAAAATTTAATTGATTTTTATATTGCATTATATTTAATATATTAAATAGGATTGGATGTGAGGACACAACTGTGCCCTTCACTAAAGCCGACCCATTGAACAGCGCATCCAAAAGTATCTTCATATCCGACCCTCACATCTGTGACGCAAACCAGAGATTCTTAGTTCTCGAGAGATATTCTGTTGAACGCATCGGACATAAGGTTATCATAAATATACCCGTCTTTAAAGACATCAAAACTGCCGACTCTTTCATCGAGACATTCAACGACACGGAGTCTAATAGAGCGGCAAAAGTGGATCACATTTATATGGACGCAGCGTTTTTTGGCCGCACGTGCTCTTGCCTACAGGTGCTCAGCAAATATCACACAAATAACTATATATAACAAATTATAACAAAATTTTATTTATATTTACACATTAGGTAACAATGCAGGCGACGGACATGTATGAGGCGTTCACTTTATACGACCAGTTGGCGCCCTTAACCCCCATAATGATGGCATTGGGCGCCGCGACCCCTATATTCAGGGGTTATTTGACGGACAGAGACGGCCGATGGGATGTCATCGACTGGTCTAACGACGACCGCACGGCTGAGGAGAGGGGAGAGAAGCCATTGAAACGCAACAAATTCCGGATCCATAAAAGCCGTTATTCGCCGATCAATACTTATTTGTGTGAATCAAACGCCGCATACAATGACAGTCCGATTGTCTATAATAAGGAGTATTACAATGAGATGATCAGCGCTGGCGTCCCCTCACCGCTGGCCCAACACATGGCGTATCTCTTCATTCGTGATCCGTGTGTCATATCTCGTGATNGCATACAATGACAGTCCGATTGTCTATAATAAGGAGTATTACAATGAGATGATCAGCGCTGGCGTCCCCTCACCGCTGGCCCAACACATGGCGTATCTCTTCATTCGTGATCCGTGTGTCATATCTCGTGATAAATTGGATCAAAACAATGATATGGACTCTGAGTTCTTTGAAAGCATGCAATCAACGAATTGGAATTCATTGAGGTTTAAACCGCCGCCTCTTAACCAACAGTCCATCGGTTGGAGAGTAGAGTTCCGTCCGATGGAGATCCAGATGACGGACACACAAAACGCCGCCTTTTCTGTCGTCACTATACTATTGTCCAGAATTATACTTCAATACAATCTTAATCTCGTTATTCCCATCTCTAAAGTCAGTTAATACTAAAAATACTTATTTAATAATTATATAGTTATTCACTTATATTTTTTATTAACAAATAGATTGACGAAAACATGTCAACCGCTCAGAAGAGGGATGCCGTCAATAGATGTAAATTCTGGTTCAGAAAAGACATCTTCTCTCAAAATACACCACAAATTAATTGTTTCAAAGAAAATAGAAACAGATATGAGAGCGAAGACGAGTCATATATAGAGATGTCTATCAATGAGATAATGAATGGTTACGGAAATGAATTCCCGGGTTTAATACCACTAATCAGGGAATACGTCAATAGTATATCACTTGACGTTCAGACCTATAATAAAGTGCAACAATATATCCAATTGATTGCCGACAGAGCGTCGGCTAAAGTCAAGACAACCGCCCAATGGATCAGAGATTTTGTGCGAAAACATGCGGACTATAAATACGATTCTGTGGTCAACGAGAAAATTACTTACGATTTGTTAAATACTTTAAATCGCATTCAAAATGAGGGCATTTAATGTTAAATTGTATATAATGTCAATTTAATGGTTTAGTTTCTGATAACGAAATTATATAAAATAAATACTTTTAAAATAATATACAGTTTTAATTGATTAAACTTTTATTTTTGTTTTAAAACCTTTTGTTTTAATTGATAAAACTGTTGTTTAAAGTAAATTAAGTAAATAAAGAATTAAATATTTTGCTTTAATTAACTTTATATATTACAAAAATAATAATCACTATCTTCTGAAAAGTATAGACAATTACATAATCATCTATGATGTAAATTAAATTCTACTTTACATTTTAAATGATTCTAATAATGATTTGGTCTTAACCTAAACCATCTGGACTTGCTATTGGAAAATAATTTACTTATACAGTGCAACCTCTCTTAGGGCAACTTCTCTTGGGGGGAACACCTCCTTTTAAGGAACGGATTTGAAATATATTTCAGATTTTCTATACCTATAACAAAACCTCCCTTAGAGAAACCCTCTCTATAAAGAACACTGTCGCCGTGCAATTGGTCGTTACTTATGGAGAGGTTCCACTGTATAAGAACCGCTACAATAAAACATTGCAGTTATAAACCGTAAAACATTAGGTTACTAATTACTATAATGCATTCAGCAACAACAATCCTGGTAATTGTGGCCCTATTGACCATCAGCGCTTATATAGTGTCGGCCGATCCAAAGCGTATGCTTTATTATATTTAATACAATTACTTTATATTAATTCATTTAATTATTTTTTATTATAATCAACACTTCAGCTGAACCGGAGCCGAACGCGATCCCAAACCCGGAACCTAAGCCTAAAGCCATAGCTAAAGCTAATCCCAATCCCATTCGTCAAGGGCTAAGGTTTCCTCTAAGGCTACCGCTGTCGCTAAGGCTAAGACTAAGGCCTCTGCTGCTGATTATAAATATATACTTATTAAATATTAATGGTTGTTATAAATTGATCTATATAAAAAATAAGTTGTAATAAACACAATCGTAACGCGATAATAAATAAAAACATTTAGCTATAGTAAGCAATGATGTCATTAAAAATTAAAACATTGACAAATTTTTATTACTACCATTTATAATAAAGATGATGGTGAATGTTAATTAGCTAATATGCAAATTATACTCTTCGTATACACAAGAAATCTCACATTGCATTTTGATTATAACAAATTCTATAACAGCAAAGTAAACACATATATTATTTAAGACAATCGAATAACCTATCATTAGTTAAATCAATTGATATCGTATTTTGTGATTTGAGCGATACTTTTGATACTGTCCCTCACAATAGGCTAATTAATAAATTACATGCATATAAATTTTCAAACCAATTTGTAGCCATAATTACAGAAATTTTTATTAATTGGACACAACGTGTCAAATATAATAATTGCTTATCTGATGAAATTCATGTTAAGTCAGGGGTATTGCAGGGGTCAGTGCTATCTCCGGATTTTTTAAAGATATAAAGTTATATTTCTGATTTGGTTAATAACATACAGTCAAATGTGTACCAATTTGCTGATGATGTATGTATTTTAAAGGTTATATATATATCGGGGTTTCGGTTATATTTCCATAGTGTTTTGTAACATTGTATTTGAATGCTTGCCAAATTTTTGTGGTTACTATCAACAAACCCTTGTAAATATTATTTAATACATCTATTATTTAACTTTAATTCTGTATTTAAAAATTATTATCTTTATTTTAAAAACTATTGATTTAACCCGAAATAAACTATAGAGTAATTCGAAAATTTGGTCTATTTTAACTTTTAATCGAGGGGACTACACAAGAGACCTACAAAAATAATATATTAGTCTTAGACGATGTATTATCTATTAATCAATGACATAAATTGTTTAAAAAGGTAAAATCCGGTAATCATAACTCTAATAACCATTCCCGAACCCGCCGACCCCGAGAAGTGAAAAATGCTGCTTCAAAAGACCGGGGTAAATCATAGTAAAAATTTTTATATATGATATTGTTGGTATACATAAGCTTACGCCGTACAACTAGTTGTAACTATTTAAAAGTCATTGGGGAGGTTCCAGGAACCGATATAGAGACATATACCCAAAATATAGCCAATTTTAGCCTATTTTTAGACAGGATTTTTAGAAATTCAACCAAAAAAAATTTACTAAATTTTTTTTACAATTTCTCTCATACCTAAAATATACTCCAGTTATCCCTCTATGAGATGACTGTTTTCAACTTTCTCTACAATCAGTCATTTATGACAGAAATGGCAAAATAAAAGTAGTGGTCGAACTATACATGACTCACTTCTTTGGTTCTTAGTGCAGCCATTTTTAATTCAAAGTCATTGAACAGCCGGCCGAAAAATGGTCAATGGTTAGCAATTATTATGACCAATACATTATATGAAATAAATTGTTGCTTCATATTACAAATATAATTTTAAATTTTCATTACCAAAATATGATTACTTTCCCGAAGGCGTAATAGTGAAACTGATATACAATGTCTACAAACAGATTTAATTAGTATTTACAATTATTGTTTGGAAAATTCATTAAAATTAAATCTACAAAAATGTCAATCTTTGTGTATAACACTAAAGAACATTCAATTAAATGTGTATAATTTTAATGAAACTATAATAACTAATGTCGAAACACATAAACAAATCAGGATAGTATATGATTGTAAGCTAAACTTTAATACACACATAGATTACATAAATAAATCATTAAAACAATTTTATACATTGAAAGTTCTGTGCCATAGAGTGAATGGTATGGCTTTTCTAAAGTTATGCATTACTTATATTCTACCAATTCTTGAGTTTTCAAATCAATCATTGATTTTAAATATAACACAAAAGAATAGATTAGAAAAGTTTAAAGAACTAAACATATTTGCAATAAGTTAGAACTAAACAACATACCATATAATGAAAATCTTAATGTGTTAAAAATTTCTACACTTAAAAAACACAGAGATATACAGATTTTGAAAACAATCTGTAAAATTAAAAACAATTGAATTTTATGAAAACTCCAGAAACGGTACGTTTTGTAAAATACCTATCATTCGTATCCAATTATTAGAAAAACATTATTTTTATTATTGTGTAAAACTTTTTAATAGTTTACCAAAGATTGTAAGAAATGAAAACAATTATAACAAATATGTTAAATTGTTAAACGATTATTTGTAATACAATGTATTGCTTTTGAGACATGTTCTTAAATAAAAATCATAATTATTATTATAATCAATAAACTTGTTTCAACAACCATATTCCGTATTAATCATCAACACTTATGTACGAGACGTGGCCCAGTGTCTCGCTTTAGGCAGCAGTCACCCGCGTCAAGTGGAGTGACGGCTGTTATTGGTCGCAACAGTTCAGCTATTATAGGCCCGAAGCCTTTCCAGTGTCAGCTCCGAGCGTCGGAGCTGCTGTCTGATATCGGGGCGAGTGGTGCTCCCACTCCCTGTTGTGATCGGCACACTTAAACTTCCCGATCTTGAACTAATCGAGTCACAAATGTTTGTTCAAATTTTAGAAGTTTTGAGTTATAAAATGTTTGAGTTATAGAAAAATATTTGATTATTTAGAAAAAAAAGTTTGAGTTATCGAAACTTTTGTTTTTATTGACAATTTTGTGCTGTAATTCATCATTTTATTAACAATAATTGTGATAATTAAAATTACAAATTATGAAAATATTAGATAATAAATTATAACATTTAGATTACAAATATTTATTTAAAGAGTGCATATTTTAAATTTTGGTAAAAGTTTTGAATACTTTTTGGTGAAATAAAAAAAATCCCGGATTTAATACCACTAATCAGGGAATACGTCGATAGTATAGCACTTGACGTTCAGACCTATAATAAAATGCAACAATGTATCCAATTGATATAATAATAAATAAACCGCAAGAAATTTTGCCAATGGCCTTTGGATATAATTAAAATTAGCTAATTAAGTTTAACAAATTCTAGTAAAAATTTCAATTTTGGCGGTTAAAGTTGTTCGCGGTGTGGCGGTCATATATTGTAAAAATACCTATTATTACATTTATACCTTGATCATAGTTTAAAATTCATAGCAACTATATTATAAATTATAATTTATAAGGGTCCCATCTTAAATGTCAAAAATTAACTGCTAATTGAAAATATATTTATTTCAAAAATTATGTAAAATAAATACTTTAAAAATAATATAGTTTTAATTGATTAAATATTTTTGTTTTAAAACTTTTGTTTTAATTGATAAAACTGTTGTTTTAAGTAAATTAAATAAATAATTAAATATTTTGTTATAAATAAATTTATGTATTACAAAAATAATAATTAAATTACTGTACAGAGCTTTATTAAATGAGTTTATGGGCACTTTTCTAATTAATTTTCTCAGCAATTACTAATATTAATTAATAGATTTTTGCGTAAAACGATAGTCCAAATGTTTGTGTATCTATTTTTAGTCAAATTTGGTACCAATTTAATAAAAAACTAAATTAAAACATTTATATGTAAAAACCAGTTAAAAGTTTTGTAAATTTCGGGTACAATATACGGGTATCTCTAAACTTTTGACAATAATTTAGCATTTTCAAGATTTTAAATTAGCCATAAATTTGTTATATATGATTGTTATAGATGAATTCTGGCTCAAATTTTGTAGATATACAATATATTAATACTTTATATGCAAACTTAAAACTGTTATTTTTAGCATTTTCAAGATTTTAAATTAGCCATAAATTTGTTATATATGATTGTTATAGATGAATTCTGGCTCAAATTTTGTAGATATACAATATATTAATACTTTATATGCAAACTCGTGTCAAATGGAACTTTGGTTTTATGATTATCTACATATTTGGCCAGTTTGCCCGTAAAAGTTCACAAATGGTATACTAAAGGTTCGGGTCAATTGTTGGCCAACCAGTAATTGTATATTTATTAATAATTATATCAATCAATAGAAGGTT